CCTGTGCCACACTGTCTCAAGCTGCCACTACACCCAAGGTGGGCTTGGCCAGCCAGGGTAGGATTTCTGCCCCTGCCCCACCCCACCGTAGCTGTAGGCTGAGCAGAAATCCTCCAATTGTCGTCAAAAGGCTCTGCCTCCTGAGCAGCTTCCCTGGCTCATGGGTCAAAGCACTTGTCCAAAGTCACCGTGCTGTGCAGAAGTCCTGGAAACAGCCCAGGACTATGTCTGGCCCAGAAGAAGCAGAGAGAGTCACTCCACCCTGCTGCAAGGCTGAGGAGTGTCACAGCTAGGTGTGTGCTTTCCCTCTGTGCAAGGGCCCTTCTGCAGTCTCTGTCAGGCACCAGGAGGGAAAGACAGTCTGCTGCCATCTTTTTTTGGTTGTTAATATCAGGTGTGAGTTCCCTGAAGCCATACACCGAGCATCTGGCACTGCCATCCCCTGAATGCTGCCACTTCATCATCCTAAACCAGGGGATGTCATTAGCGCTCTGCATGGCTGTGGCACTGCAAGGAGCACTCATCCATCTGCTCCTCCCCAAGTACCTTCTTATCACTCCAGGAGTTATCTTGGGTGGCTGGAAAGGCTCTGTTGTCTTTCCAGCTGTTCAGATCAGCATCTCCTTTGTTACTCTGAGGTTTTGCTAAGGGTTTGTATTGTGTTAAGTTTCAGAAAGCACAAAGAAACCGAAGATCTTTGTATGCCAGGCTCCTGCCCTAAAGTACTTAAGTCTCCAAGGACTAGAGGGCAGACAAGAGAAGAAAGAGGGTACAATATCAGAGCAAAAGATCAAGCCAGTGAGAGAATATATTATTCATTAAGTATATCTCCAGAACAAGTAACAGAGGGAGTGCAGGAACAGAACTTACAATGGTCTTAGGTACAGCTGTAAAAAATTTATATACCCATTTTTATCTTCTCTTTTTTTTGACATCTGTTTATTTCATTTGGGATAGGACTAGGCCTAGCCACCATTTTTGAAAATTAGTGTATTTATATGTTCCCACTGTTTTCACTCTTCATGATGGGATGTGCATGTGATCACGTGAGTAGATAATGTCTATGGAGAGAGCTGGTGGTATCTGGGGTCTTTCCTGAGACTTGTCTGTTAAACGGGCTCACAACAGAGACTGAGCTGCTCTGACCTACAGTCATTTCTCTCTGGTGGCACAGACGCCAGAAATCCATCTGTATGCTGCCTTTGTCAACATGCCAACTTTTCTCTTACTGCTACTTCTAATAGTAGCCAAACCAGCACAGAGGTGATGACAAGAAGATCTCCTAGATGTATATTCTCACTGTGGGGCTTCTGCTGACTTTTGGAGGGTGCCTCCTGTCCCCAGATTGCCGGAGGACTCCTAGGATGCTGTGCTAAATGCACTGGAACAGAAGGACTCAGGGAACAGCAGTTCAAGTCAAGGACCTGGGCCTCCAGCACAGAGACAGTGATCACTAAGTGGCTACTGCCAAGGGCAACCCCCTCCCAGAAGTACCACGGCTCAGTGCACATGCAGCTTTGGCTTCTGGCATCATTTACACCTGCTGAGCTTTCTTTCCCCATGCAAGCCTCCTCTTCAGGCCCTCATTTGGGAAAGGAAAGCAGTGAGGGGCTGGTGGCTGCAGAGCTACTCCCAATTTCAAAGTGGGTACTAAAACCCTTCTGCTCAAAACTGAGCAGTGACATGTCAAAAGAAATCCCCTTAGACTGGAGCCCCCACAACCCTCCTTACCACCTCAAGCAGAGGCAACTCTGCACTGTCACACAAAATTAAACTTTCTCTTCATTCTCCAGTCTAATCTCTGTCTCCACAATAAGATCCTGAGGTTTAATCTGATTATGATCCTTCATATCACACTCTAACAAATGGCCCCAGCTGCCAGGCTGAGCGGTTTAATGAGATACTGTGTCGGTTATCAAACGAAAGGCAGAAGAGATACTGCAGAAAAAGGCATTGCTTGCTCAGCCCCATCCCCAGGATGCTGGGCATGGGCTACAAGGAAGCACTCATGCAACTAATGTTGTGTCTCTTCTGTAAGAGGAGAAGACCTGTTCTCCTGCAAGAGTTTTGATGGGGAACCGTGCTCTATCAGGCAGGGTGGCAGATGCTCCGTGTCTGGCAGCTGTGATGTATGTGACTGGTCACTGGAGATGTGACCACAATGTTGTCTGGCCACGAGTGTCTGAATACAAGATAAGAAAATACAGTTTGTCTTTAGTCAGATGTTATTACATCTGATCCAAACATAAAAGCCCAAGATGTATCACATGGCAAATCAATATAGTTTTTTGTTAATCCAAATGCAATCACACACTTTTTTTTCTTCCTGCCTAGATAAGACCCACTCTTTCCCCTCAGAACTGCAGCCAAAACACAATTCCCTCTCAGTGGCTAATGGCATTCATAAATTACGCTCAAGATCCATTGTTCATTTAATCCTTTTTGCTGCTATTAGCTCTGGTCACTGATTTGTTACCTCTCCAGTCTATGGCATTTTAATGACACAGCTAGAAAACAGCCAAACTCTTCAGCTTAGTGGTAAAAGCTGGATATGTGCTACAAAGAGGAATGGTGTCTACCACTAACTCAAGGGGAAGAAGTGTGGGAGAACTACAGGCCAGAGCTGCTTGTTGCCTGGGGAAGGCAGAGAGGAACAGGCTGGAACACTCATTGATTCTGGCCTGAGCTCAGGTCTTATGGAGATGATGAAGCTGTTGGCCTGTGGCCTCGGGAACATGGTTCACTTCCAAGACAACCAGACCACTGCAAGCCTTTCAACCAGCCTAACCTGGTTTGGCAAGGAAATCATTGATGATAGTCGCTCTTCCTTTGAAGTTGCAGTTGTTTTTTAAGTTGTTTAACTTGACCTCTGTGTGTTCTTTCCTCTTCAGCACAGGGGTTATACTGCATGGATTAGTATTATCAATGTGACATGCCATTACAGGAGATACTGATGTGACTCCATCTGGAAGGCTGCAAACCAGCCTGGTTATCTGTGCAGAGATGAATTACACTCAATGTAGAGCAAAACTGGAACAGAGGTTTGATCAGAGAGAAAAAGACCACAGAGTCTGGCACATCTAGTCATGCTCAGCTGAAGGCAAGGGAGCTTATGATTACCCTTGTGATGGTTGCACAGACAGCAAGCCCCATGGAGGGTGAGTAGCAGCTTGATCTGTACTGGTACAAACCAGACTGCACTGGCTGTGAACACATCTCGGCTGAAAGTTCAAAGAAACCTCCTAATGATCTGTGTGGGTCTGAAATAATCTGCTTGCCTTGGGAGCCAGGGGCAAAGTATCTACCTACCTTTGAAACTGCTCTTGTTAATCTGGGGGAAAGGACCAGGAAGAGCAGATGGATTTGGTGGCTGATGACATTCCTCTCAGTCCTCACCCTTTTAAAATAGGATCCCAGGAATGCAACATTGATGTTCATTTCCTTAGTAATTTTTACTATGGATTTTTAAAAGTTTCCTCTGAGCTACATTTTTGTTTTGGTTCACCACTGGCTTGAAACCGGACTTTCTTAAGCTCTCCTGAAGTAACCAAACTTCTGCCCTGGAATGCATTAGCTAGCCTCCTGGAGTTGAAGTGCATTCAGCCTTGCCCTTTGGATCCCCCAGCTGTGTTGGTGACAATACTGTCACCAGAAGGAGCTATGGCCTGCCCTCTGCTGCTGGGATGTTCTACAAGAGCAGATGGGTGTAAGGCTGCCTGCAGTTGTGGCAGAAGAGGTTTGGCTGTTCAAGGTGCTGGAAAACAAATGGTACCCATCTCCTCCAAGGCAACAGGAAAAACGTGCTGGGCCAGATGCAACTGAGCCATGGCTTGAGATCAGGCTCTGGAACCACTCCGCCTGTAAAGAGGTGCCCTCCCAGGCTGAAGCAGGCTCAGTTCATGCTTCTCACAGCTAATGGCATGTGTTGCTGCCTGATTCCAAGAGTGGCTTTTCTAAGAATGGAAACATGAAGATATTAAGATTTTTAGTCCAGAGATCTTTAAGTGGCATAAGCCACAGTTGTGCAGCTGGTAATTACCACCACGCAGGGGAGCCTAGGAAGACGCCTTTTTTTTTTTTTCTAATTGCTACAAAGCCTTTCAATTTGATTAATTCTTTACTTAATGCATTTCCTTGTAATTTGTATTTGTGAAGATGCTAATGGTAAATTAGACAATCTTTCCTGTGAAAAATACATTCTGTACTCTCTATAAGCTTAGTCTCTGGTGGCATCTGTGCATTCTTCATCACCCATCCAGGAGATGCTTTCAAAGCCAGGTGCTGACCTGTCCTTTCTTTCAGTTCAAAGATGTTGCTTGAAGCAGAACTGACAAGTACCTGTAACACAGGTACAATGGACAAAATTGTCGTCCATTTCTCTGTGCTGCAATGGTTTGGGTCAGAACAGACTAAAACACATTTGCTACCTGGAGCTGTTTCATTTCCTTTGAATTGTGCATATTATTCCAGCCAGAGAAGTCAGATGCCAAGGATGTCAAGGGCTCCACAGCCTCCTACAGTAATGGCACAAGTTGGCCTGATAGGGGGAGTGGGATCTGTTACCATGATTTGAGCACTGGCTGCTGTGTCACTATCTCATGTGACATTGCAAGGCCCTCAGATGAGTGTTGGGGTGGGGTATAATAATAAAAAATATGTTTCTCCTCAAAACCAGAAATCCTAGCATTGTTAAGCAGAAAAATATTTACTGTGAAGGCAGAATTATCCTGCCTATCACTGTCCATGTCCCAGCTTTGCTCAGAGAGGCCAGGCTGCTCTCCCTGGGAACATATAGTTTGCAAGGTGATCTAACTTCATTGCTGGGCACCATTTCAAACTAAAGATGGAGTGTGAGGGTGAGTAGATGGTCTGTAATGCTGTAATGGCCTCTGTGTACACCTGGGTCCCATGAACTAAAAGAGCTTTGATGCACACTGAAAAAGAACCATTCCCAATAGAGTCAAAGGGATGGCATCAGAAAACTTGTTCCGAGAATTTTTTTTTATTTTTTCTTTTTTTCTGGAGGAGGGAGAAAAGAAGAGGGAGGCAGAGGAGTCTAAGGGGTAGGCACACATGGGAGTCACGGCCTTGCCCCATGGAGAGAGGGCAGGGCCCTAATGGAGCAGGGCAGTGGCTACTCCTGCAAGTTCCCTCCTTCCCAGAACTCTGCCTGCACTTTGCTTGTTGGTGCTTTCCCATTCGAAGGCTGTTGGGAATTACTGTAAGATCATCAGAAACAATAAATCCATATTCTGGCTCTTAGAGTAGCTTCCAGAATTTAGAGACTTTTTACCCAAGTCTTGCTATTTATTAGAAAGCTCCCCCATGGTCTCTTCTCTCCTTTTTGGCAAGAGAATGGAGCATTAAATCAATCGAGATCATTTGACTCAGCTCGATAACAACAAGATGCTGATTTCAAGAGCAAGAACCTGGATCGGTGTTTGTGCTTCAGAGAGACATTGCCCTCTAGTGACTAGAAGGCAGGCTGTGTAAAAAGACAAAACATCATGAGTTTTGTACAGTTTTATATGTCAGAGCAACACATTCAATTGAAATTTCTGACAGACAGAGCAATGCTGACTGTGGCGAGGGCTGAGAATACAGCAAATACTCATGAAAGCAAGGAAAAAGAGAGGGAGAGAAAATGGTCATCACATTCCTTCCAGACATTCTGAACAAAGAACTTTTGATTAAACTTACTTCAAGAAAGTCTGTATTTGTCCAAATGCTCACTTTTTAAAAAGAAAAATTATAAATATGAAACATAAAACTTATTCTGTAGCCAAAACACAATGTGGTATCTCTTTTTGGAGGAAAATCTTGGGATGAGGCCATGGTGTATAAGTGAAAAGCTATTTGCAGAAAGTTTACTGTGGTAAGAAATGTGACAAATATATTTGGCAAGTTTGGTTTTTTTAATAAGAGGCCTCCTGCACAACTCTCCCACAATCACAAAAAACTGCCTCACAACAAAACCCCACGCACCCAAGCAGACCTGCACAAGATGATGTAAGATAGTATCTCAAAGATGTCTCTGAAAGGAATTAGTTCTTGTATTCAACTGCTCCCGTGAAGACATTAGTCCTTTCCTCAAAGCCTTTTCCCTTTGCCAGTGTCCAGCTGTATCACATCTTGCTGTTCTGGAGCAAAAGCTGCAGGACTGTTCCTGTGTCTTTGTGGTCAGTAGTAATGTACCTTCCATGTTTCAGTGGTGACAAGGATACTTTCTGCAGCAGCATATGCTAGCTGACGCATTTGCTTGTGTAAACAAGAAGAAAATAGAGTAAAAACTGATCAGACTTGGCTCAAAGCAGGGGTTCACCGTTCTGTAGTTATTTTCTGGCTTTGCTGAGTCATTCCTGGCTGTAAGAGGCTGCCACTCTGGCAGAGCAGCAGAACATTCCATGTCACGGCCGTGGTACATGCCCATGGCTTTGCTACACAGCAGGCTGTAAACCTCAGGAGCTGAGGACTCTGATACACAGTTGCATCCAAGTTAAGATGTCACCACCGAAACTTTTTTTTCACCCAGCTATAAAGAGATAAATTCTTCAACAGCCACAACTAAATCCCAAAAGGACAATACATCAGAGCAGTAAAATATCAAATATCAAATTTGGGATTAACAGCTCTGAATGTTTTGCACTGTTCTTGAACAGTTTGAATTGTTTTTGCTCTCCTCTAACTTCAGAAGCCAGCCCTTCAACCATAAGACAAAATCAAGATGAAACAGGAGACATTACTTCATTGCCACAGCTGTCTGACTCTGCCTGGCAGATTGGCATCTCCCTGCGCTTTACTGGAACAGCTCAGCTCACAGGAAAGCCACACTTGAACAGGAGGTGTCATCATGAAACTGACACTTGTGTCCCATTTAGGGAGCCTGGAGAACAAAGGTTTAGCAAGAGCAGTTAACTGTTTGAAACAGCTCCACACAATGCAGTTACCCATGTGGAAAGGCGATCTGGAGGGTATTCCGAGGATCGGAGCAATGCCTGCCAGTTTACATGGTGGGATCAGGTCTGTACATGGTGAGATCTGATGCAGGAGACACAGGACCACGACCAGACCAGGACCACACAGCTGGGATCTTTCCTGACCCATATATGCTCTGCTCAAAAAACTGTAGAAGACAGCCTGCTCCAGAGGCAGAGGCTGTGCTGGAGACCCGTGGCTGTACCACAATCTGCCACAATGGGGAGATGCCGCGCCACGGATGCGCCTCATGCAGCTCCCTGGAGCGTGGGATGCAGATCCCATCTCTGCCAGCCCCCTTGGCAAAGAACTTGTTTACTTTCCTGCACAGATGTGACCAAAAAACCCCACCAAACCAAACCCAAAATCCTCCCTATCTTGGTTTAGTTTCAGCGATTTAATAACATTAAAACCAGCATTCTTTATACTAATTCTAAAGCTCTGTTGTTTTGAAATACTAAAATCCATTTTGTTTTGAAATATCCACAAATTAAAAGCACTGGGGGTCTTGGAGCTAAGAGCCTTTGAAAAATACTCTCCTTCTGCACTTCAACCAACAATATGTTGGCGTAAACAACTAGGGAAAGACCTGCTCCTCGTCCAGTCTGCTGGATAGAGCCCGGGACGGGAGGGAAATCTGCTCTGTCAAAGCCCCCTGATTGTATGGCACTAACATAACTGGCAAAGGCAAACATGAAAAAGACATATTTGAAACAATTGGAAGAAAAATGCAAGTGGAGGAGAGAAAAACGAAGAGGCAAAACCCACTGTTCCTCTTCTTGCTTCCACTGAGCTCTTTAACACTAGCAGCATGGTTAAATTCCTACTGGATTCCTATTCTTACTGGAGTAAGATCTCACTGAATTGAATTTCCTCTGAGAAAGCTTCCAGCTTCCAGAACACCTCGTAAATGCTCCTCTGTCCCTTTGCAGAGCTGGCCTGTGAGGTAAGCAGGCAATTAAACCCTCTGTCCTTGTGAGAAAGGCGACTGCAGCAACAATACATGTGCTAGGTTACAGAGGCAGCAGAGCGAGACTCCTTTCAGCCTTTCAGCTTAGGTGCCACAAGACTGGAGACACAGAACAAGGCAGTTGCCTGCTCTGACTGACACACAAAGTTGGGTTTCACTGGCTGTAGCTTCCAGGCAGGCTGTCACTGTTGAAAGCAAATTAGATCAGCTGGGCATCAAGTGATACCTCCCATCAGTTTTCACCGCCCACCGCTGCCAGCTCCACACTTCTCTTTAGCGCTGCATGTGCCAACTGTCTCACAGAGCCAGCTGCAACATCTACTGGAAGGACATGGGGAGCAACCACAGGTGGGGAGAGGAGCTGGGGCATCCACTCGGGATTGGGGCAAGACCTTTGCCTGTCTTAGTCCAGGCAGAAAACAGGGTTCTCCAAGAAGACTGCCAGCTTGCTGGCCATCAGGTCCAGGTCACTGGTGTTGGCATATTTGAGCAGATTGGTGTTCTTGAGAAAGTAATGCTTGAGGAAGTGCTGGCTTACACACTTGTGCAGCTTCTGTACCAGCCTCAGAAAGGCTTCAGGGAAGCAGCGCCAATCCTTGGTGCGTGGGTATTTTTCACACGTCCAGAATAGCACTGTCTGCAAGAAGCAGATGGGAGAGAAGATGTGTTAGAGGTTCTGTTGAGGGCTCACACAGCTTACTAAGGCACTTTTAGTGCTGGTAAGTGGCTGACAGCCTTGGAAATCACAGAGACTCACGCTGCTACCTCCCTGTGTTAACATTTCTGCAGTGGAGGGATCCCAACTGACCAGGAAGAACAGCTTGGAAGTGCCTGGTTAGGATCTCTCCCCAGAAGTGCCACTCTCCACTGACTGAGCCAGGAGCCCAAGGAAAATGATCTCACTAAAATAATCTTGGCCTATTTGCCATCCTCCAGCAGGAGGCTCTGTAGAAATGCCAGGCATTTTAAGCTGTAGAAAATGACCTACTATGCAAGGGTAGAAGCCAGTAGATGCAAGGAGGGACAGAGCATAATGAGATCAACATAATTATTTGTTAGCTTCAGCTGTATTTGTGCTGTAGATACACAAAGATCTGCACCCTAAACAGACTGAGATTCCAAGAAGCTATTGCAGGTGCAAGGCTTGCCTTCTGGTCAAATGCTGCCTGTTTTTTTCTTCATGTCTTATGTTCTATTCCTCTGAAATGATTTTATGCAGTTTAACATTTGAGAAATACATAATTAAAATAACAAAATGCATATGATTGTTGCTCTTGTAGTATTATTTTTCCACTGCCTATGTTGCATAGGTTGTGTATGTTGTTAGACTTTCCCATAACTGAGAAGAATTTTCTCAAGGAACTTAGACTTATTCTGCCAAAAAAGCCATAGTGACTGCCTCGGTCAGCCTCAAATAACGTTTTAAAAATACAAAATCACCTACTTGGTGTTCAATAATTCTGCTAAGTCCCTGAACTCCTTGTAGTATTATTTTTCCACTGCCTATGTTGCATAGGTTGTGTATGTTGTCAGACTTTTCCATAACTGAGAAGAATTGTCTCAAGGAACTTAGACTTACTCTGCCAAAAAAGCCATACTTGACTGCCCTGGTCAGCCTCAAATAACTTTTTAAAAATACAAAATCACCAATTTTATCACCAATAATAATTTTGCTAAGTCCCTGAACTGTCCTGTGAATCCCTTTTTTTTTTTTTTTTTTGCAAATTTGGCTACCCAAAAAGAGACTCAGAGACATTTTGAGAGTGGCAGAACTACAGACTTCAACTTGTCTGTTTCTACAGAGTTAGATTTCATCTATAGTTGTACTGCTGACAAATTTCTTCTCAAACAGTTTTTCAAATGTGAAAATTTTTTTGTTCACAGCTGCAAAAATCACGGAGCCTTTTCTTGAATGTCACCAGGGAACAAAGACATAGTAAGGAATTCAAGCTATAACTCTTTTGAGAGCTGTTCCTTGAAGACTTGCAGAGCAGTTACCTTCTGACACACTAAAACTACTTCAGCAGGCAGCAGTTACAATGAAGTTTCTGGAGGCATGGAAAACAGTGCTGCTTTTTCAGTCAGGTGCCCAAACAAGTGATTTATCCCCAGCACTTATGTCCCTAACTGCCAGCTCTCTACCAACAGCACAGAGTTGGCTTTCAGAATGTACCTAGATATTTTTGAAATTTCAGATCTCAAACTTCATTCCTATGCAGGTAAGCAAAAGAAGAGCTGTTACATGGTCCTCTCGGCTTTCAGAGCTTATGGGATACAGATTCCCTCTGTCATAGAGGGTCTTGTTTAATCCTAATTGTTGGATACCTCTGACAGGGGGAACCTGAGAGTGTGAAGAAACCTAACATTAAGCCTCTGTTCAACTGCTGGTTTAACCACTGACTGTTTCTCTCATTTTGCTTGTCTTTTTTCCCTATTTTTCTTTTTAATGTGAGTAATTTTGAAAGAATTTTATGTCTGGTAAACCAATCCTCTCTTGCCATAAAAGTCAGAACTGAAGTAAAGAACTGAAGAGCTTCTGAATAGTTTTTTACTTTAATCAAGAGCCCATGCAACAGCATGTCTGGCACATCTGCTCCTTCAGCCAGGGAAAAACATTGTTCCTAATGGTTAAATGGTTTTCCATTTTGTCTTACATATGATAGTTTTCCCACCAGGTTGTTCTTACAGGCACTGAGAAGTTTTGCATTCAGCTAAGCTATAATCAGCCTCGTAATTTTTTTTTTTTTTTTACTCCATCTTGACTTAGAGTAGTGCCGTGACTGTAAGAGCATTTGATGGTCACCAGCTTTTTCTTTAGGAGAAATCTTAGCATTGCATCTGGTTTTGGACACCAAAAGATCAGTAACTACTGTAGGAACCTAATGGCTTTAGGCTTCAAGATGGGAAAAGTACAGCCTCTCCCTGGCAACTCCAGGGGGATGAAGTCTAACAAATGGTGCTGCCTGTGGCCCATTGGTGTCTGCAGCTGCCAGATGTGGGGACACAGTCATAGCAGAGTCTTCTCTCTCTTCTTCACAAATCTTGCTTGAAGCCATCTTGAACCCTGAAATAGGTGCAGGGAGGATGCCACCACCCCTTTAACTCTTTCTTTCCTTCCTACCCCAAATGAAACACCACCAGAACTGTAGTTTGCACATAATTCATTAATAATGCTCAACTAAGACAGTTTTGTTTGGTGCATATCCACAAAGAAAAAAAATCACTATCTTCCACCAGAGACAGAGATGGATCTAGATGGCTGAGATAATCAAGAAGCAGGAAGTAAGTGTGCAATTACAGACAACAGTACAATGGGAAGTCAAAACAGAGCAGGGGCCTCAACTCTATTTATGTTGTTGCAATCATAATGTTCCTAAAGGCCCTGGTTTCTTATTGAAGTTTGGAACATATATTTAGTGAACTCCTTGCCACCACAAAGCAATGAAAAGGTACAGCAGTTTTGAGAGTTACCTTAAGAAATTACACAGATGCTGCACTGACTTACACCACAACATTCTGACATTACTGGATGGAAGCCACTGCAACAGATCCCGTGACTCTATGTAGGTATGAGGCTGATGCCTACCTGAAGGTGATAAGCTGTGATGACAGGCTTATTCCCAGCACACCAGACATCCTCCTTCATCTGCCTCATGACTCTGAAGCACTTCCTGCGACAACCACCGTCTTCATCAAGTCCCTCCATGAGGATGTGCTCAGCACGGGAGAAGCACAGCTGCCAGTGATAATTAGAGCGGGCTAGGAGGTCGAAACCCAGCGACTGTGGAACAACAGGGGAAGTGTGACAGCAGATCAGAGGCAAACTTCTCCCAGCAATGCAGACTGAGGTTAACAAAAGCATGTGTGACACCTCTCAAAGCCTACTCTAAACAGGGTTAACAGAGGCAGCAAACATGAGGTGTGCTCCCTTCTTAGTTGAATAAACATGCATTTTGCATTGTTTCCTTGTGTGCTGGTATTGGTTAGTGCCAGAAGATCCTGTTCTAGAGCCATCAGGCACAGGATCTCTATAGGAGATCCTGTTCTAGAGCCATCAGGCACAGTACCAGCAGTGCCACTAAAGCAGAGGTGCATCAGAGGGGAGCAGGACTGGAAGGTGGAATGGGACGGACCTGTAGGAACTTGGCAGCTGGGCTGAGCTGAAGTGCCAGAATCCAGCCATGAGTGTTGTAGGGAAAGATGGGATTGAGCTGGAGGGAAAACTGCAAGGCAGCAGCCCATTCGCTGAAGTCTTACGCGAGGCAGAGCAAGAATGATGCACATCAGAGCTGTGTGATGCAGGCAGAATTGTTTGCTAGAGACTCATGCAATAAAAAGTTAAGTCAGATTTTTTCTATAGAATTCACCACTGTAGTGGCGGGGGGGAAACAAAATCCAAATAAATTCCAATAGAATATTTTGAGACATTGCTTCTCTCTTTAGAGAATATATCTTCTAACCCTATTGCCATCACCATGCAGTTCTTCCTTTGGTAAAACACTATCAGACACCTGAGAGATAGATTCCATCCCAGAGTTAAGGGTGTTTTTTACACTGTTTACCTTGATGCATTGCACTTTTTCCTGAGAAGGCCAACGCTTAAGGCAACGAGGCCACCGGGCTTTCTCGGGCCAGCACGTTGGAATCTCCACAGCAGGGACCAGCTCCACCTCAACCTGGGATTCTGATGTCTCCACAGCCACCCGGACCACTGAGCTGAAGCTCTCCAGTACTGTCACTTTACCTGTGAAAGAACAACAAGAGAAGAAAATATAGATAAAAAGGTCCTTTTCCAGAAGCCAAGCAAGAGGCTGTCTAGGACCTTGCAGCTCTATTGGTCTGTCTTAACACTTTCTCTTCAATAACACATGAAGAACGTAAGAAAGACCTAAATCTATAAAACTCTACTCTGGGGAATAAGAACAGGAAGATGAAAGAATAAGGTTATTAACTTTACACTCATTTATCATGCTTTTTTTTTCCTTTGTGGGTCCTCTTAAACCCTAGGATTAGGTTCTTAAAGCTAGACAAGTGGTGCAACCTAACATTTCTAATGGTACACTACAAGGAGATCACTGCAGATTGGAGAGGACCAGATGAACACTTCCTATCTAAAGATGTTATTCTTCCTTCAGAGAACCTGAGATCAGACCTTTGCCAGATCACACTTACCACTGCCAGTCATTCAGAATGTTTTGTGGCGTATCTGTAAAGTTTGTTTCTGGAGATGCACTTGCACAGAATACCAGAATTTATGGTCTGTTGTGCAGAGCAGTCACACAGAAAAGGCTAACTGCTACATCAGTGCGAGTGCTGAGTGTTAAGAAGAGTTAGTTCCAAGGTGATTTGGAGGAAAGAAGTTTCCTCAGTGTAAAAGAAGAGTGGCTCATCTCCAGGAACAACATGATCTAAGAGTACAGAAAGGAAAGCAAGCTGCAACTAATGGACTTTGTGGGATGTTTCCTGTTGGTCCAGTTGAGTTCATGGGAAAAGTTTCTGTCCCAGTCACTGTGGAAGGATCATTGTCCCTTCAGCTCTGCCATCTGAGCCAATTGCATGTTCATCCTCCAACTCAGAGAAGTGAAAGCCTGAGCAGATGAACATAAGCAGTTTAAAGAGCAGTGTGTTATCCCACCTCATTTTGACTGGCATGGGCTAAGGAGCAATTAATGAGGTGAATGACCTTGCAAAGAGTAGAACCCATCCCAACCAGAACTTTATAAACTTCAGAAAATCTATGTGCTATTTCCCTGCTGGGCCAAGCCTGGCATCAAAACAGGAACTGTTCTATTTCCAAGCTCCCGAAAAGGGTCTCTAGCAGCTGAAAAGTGTTAGAGCAACCACTGTGTCAGCACGTAAATATGTTCATGGCATTTCCAAAAGCATTGCAATGCTTATACCTATTTTTCCACTAATGAAAAGTGAGACACCTCAAAAAATTATTTTGCTGGTGCTGAAAGAATGAAAAAACAGGGAAGCGAAGAAATCAGTGAAGTTTTTCTGTAACTTTAGCCATACTGTGGGATGAAGGAAGTCCATTCTTCACAGAAACAAACAAAAATGTTATTGCTTCTCCTGACTTCATCCTAGCTTATATCCTCCCAGCAGACCTTACAAAAAAGGCATCAGAATCATCAACTGGAACACCACTCTCTGGGGTCCCTGCAAGTACCTTTCCTGCAACACTCAACTTTCACTCAAGAACTTGATATGACTGCTGCCCAACACAAAAACTTTCACATAAGTAAAGCCTCAGAAGCAAGCCTGTTCCAGCTGCTCTTTCCAGCCTCAGTGGTGAAATATCATTCCTACCCACCTTTCCATTCCTACAATAACAAGTATTTCCTGAAAAAAAATGCCATTATCTAGTGGAGCTTGACTTTTTTTTTTCCCCTGTGACTACAATTAAGAGCGCAATCAGATGGACACAAAAACTTTCACATAAGTAAAGCCTCAGAAGCAAGCCTGTTCCAGCTGCTCTTTCCAGCCTCAATGGTGAAATATCATTCCTATCCACCTTCCCATTCCTATGATAACAAGTATTTCCTGAAAAAATGCCATTATCTAGCGGAGCTTGACTTTAACATTTTTTCCCCCTGTGACTACAATTAAGAGTGCAATCAGATGAGTGGAAATACCTTCTATTGCTCTGAAATACAGAAGACACATTAGGCTACTGATGAATAAAGTCATTCCTGGAAACATGCTATGGGAAGAGGCACCACAGGAGTACCTTGGACACTGGGGAAAAGAGCACTTGTCCAACATACTTTGCTTCAGTAGAAGTCCTTCTACTTAGTTCCCATAATCCCATGCTGGAAAGCTGTGGGCAGCTAAGGTTTCCCCAGAGCATTATCCACTCTATAAATATCTTCAAACATGTTCTTCTCAGATGTACACTCAGATATAGCTTTCCAGTACCCAATTTTCCTATACTACCTTCCTTAATAATTTAAATATATTGCAGGTGCTATAGTAGAGAAGGATTGTTTTTCCCAAACAAACTCCTAAATGTTCTAAAAATCTGGGCTGCCTCTTAATTGAACTGCAAGGGAGATGTTGCTGGAGACCCTAACCAAATTCCTAAGAAAGAAGTAACATCTTGGGTACAAAGAGCCCAAGAACTAATGAATACTATCTTCAATGCAGGTCTGTGTCTGGCACTGCAATCACTTGAAGGCTTCCTGGTTTGGGAGAGTTTTGCTCAGCTTCTGACCACGCAAGCCAAACACTCTGTGTGTGTGATGGTCTCCCTCACACCTGTCCCCACCAAACTCACTGGAGAGGTTACAGGAGACAATCGACTTCTCCACCAGCTCCCGGAAGACGATAAGGACTTTAGCTGGAACCAGATCACCTTCGATGTTCACATCCTCTTCATGCCACTGCTGAAGGCTTTTTGAGAACTGCTCCACCTCCAGCCACTGATGCAATTCCTCAGGGTCCCGCACGGAGGAGAGGAGCTTGGCTCCATGCACGGTGTAATAGCGCCAGTGCCGCACCTGGCATTCCCTGTAACCGGTCAGGCCACGCAGAGGAACTGTGATGAGGAACTGGCTGGGTGCTAAGACCTGGGAGAGTTCAGAGAGATTGAGAGAGGAGACAAGGGCAGATCCATGAGCTAAAGTAAGGAAAACAGGGCTGAGGAAGTACTAGGTAAAAGCAGGGGCTTGGAAAAGAAGGACAAACCATGGTATGATGGGACTAACTGAACACAGCCAGGGTTACCTTGGAGGCATGCAGACTAAAAGGAAATTGTCTCAGAAGGCATCTGATGTGAAGCTCTTAGACTATAAGAGCTCACTGGCTGACTTGCCACCACACCTGCCATGCTTTCCCCCTTTTCTTGTTACTTCTAGTCTGCAATACCATGAGATGTAATAACCAGCAGCTTCCAAGGAGCAGGAAGGCATGAGAGAAGATGCTTTGATATCCTGCCAAGGGAAACCCAAAGAGTGCTAGCTATTATCTCAGAATTGTTACTTGAGATAAGCCCAGAGTCCAATACTAGTAATAACTATGGCAAAAAGTGCACCTTTCTGATCTCTTTCAAATTCCACTACAGACAGTAGCAAAATAAGGCGATGGCCTGTTAATTTTACAAGTGTTGCACTCTTTTTGACTGACATTTAAAGGGACAGTAAGAGACATAAGGCAAGTAACATGCCTGAGCCTGCTGAGGCAGTGTCACTCCCAGAAACAAGTCCAGGTCTTGGCCAGCTGTAATGTATGGAACTGCATCTCCTGATGAGCATGACAGAAACAGTGTAAGGATGGAGGCAACAATCAATAGACAAGGAAGCCTTAAACAGGCTTGTTTGCAAGCCAGTTCATTTGCCTCACTTGGGGAACAACCATTTTCCATTAAAAAACAGTTCTGAGACAGTATTTGCAAGGAAAGAATGAGGTAATTCAAATACCACAAAATATCATCTGTCTGGCCCAGGGCATAGACAGACATGTCCAAGTGCTACTTTGGAAGCATCTGGCACTTGTGGTTCCAGAAGGGGTGTTAAAAGTCCTTCAGATTTTTACCATGTTGGCTTAGGAGCTTTTCAAGTCCTCTTGCTACCAAGTCTAACTTACAGTGTCATAAGTAAGGTGAAGGTGCTGCATGAGCAGGATGTGAAGTGACAGCCACTGCTGTGAGGTGGTCACACCCATGGTGAACGAAACACGCTTGTCACTCTCCTGTAATAATCCAAAACACCCTTGTAGCCTTCCTCAGTTCAGCTGATTTAAAGTATTAGCACAGAGGTGCCAGGGCCCTGAGGGCACTAACAAGCTTTATTGTCCCTAAGCAGCCTTTCTGGGACTTCTATCTACACCTTCTGCCCATGGGTCTGGGACCCCCAGTTCAGGTTAGCCCTGGGCTCCAGTGAGTGGGGGAGTGGCTTGACCTCAGACCTGACTTACCAGCAGACTTCCCTGATGATCCAGACTCTTGGCTGACCCAGCTGCCCTCCTTGTGTCTGTCTCACTCAGGGACCATAGGGCAGGGGCTGCCTGGCTACATTCCCCTCCTGCCTGTCTCTCTCTCTCTCTCTCTCTCTCTCTCTCTCACAGGGAGCAGCTGGTCTTCTCTGCTCCCTGGCAAGAGATTTAGAAAATAAAAGATGGCCAGCCAGAAGCACAGAAATAGCAAGGAAAACACCAGGATGCTGCTCTTTTGTAAAATATAAACCATAAAGGCAGGAGGATGCTGAAAGGATGACAGTGAAGATCAAGCTAACCTGCACACATCAGGTTTGGTGGAGCTGAGAAATCCTTTGGGAAGCTCAGAAACAGAGTAGTAGGTTCCATAAGGAAAAAATACAACAGCTGTCATGCAGTTACTGCTCCTCTCACAGCCTCAGCCACATTTACAGGTAAATAACCATTCCCCCCAACCCAAAATCCCCCCAATAGATTTCAAAGGGAAGAGCTGCACATGTTATGTGAGTGCCTACAAATGTTACAAGTGCTCTCCACCTGGGGCTTACCAGAAAACAACAGAATGCACAAGGCTGGGATTAGCACTGTAAAACTGGGCAGTTGGTATCTTCTTGGCCTAAACAAATCCCAGTCCCACACCTATGCTCTGTCACACAATGGTCTCACACACTATGTGCAGGCCACGGGCCCTAGAAAGTCACAGACTCAAGCAAGTCTCCAATACTGGAGCATGTAACTTGTGGCCAGTTCTGCTGTAGTAAAACCCTGTCTAGAGTGTGCTGGACAAATTAAATACAACCTCATTCTTGTGAACCTGGCCAGGCTGTTCCAGGGAGACAGAAACATTAGGTTAGAAAGAAAATAATTAGGCTTTGAGGGGAAAAAAAAATCAAGTCTCTTGTGCAGACAACAAAACAGTCATGGAAGGATCAGTTTGGTGGGTGAAGTCTGGAGAAGGGGGTGTGTGAGGAGGAAGCAAGCACAGGGATTGTCAGGCACCAGGAAGGCTTTGTACCTGGATGGATGGGTGGAATGGGCGCTTCCTCCGAAGCATAGCTGACCACTTGGCCAGTAAAGCTGGCTGATCCTGAGAGAAGCAGAAAGGAAGACAAGTACACAGAACAGAGAGAAAGCATGTGCTAGGTCATCCATTCACAGAGCAAAGCTGCAAGCTTCCCTGGATTCTTGGAGTTTGTTAAAGGAAAATCCCCCCATTGCCCCCATCTTGATTAAACACTTGGCAATGCCACTGGGCACTGCAGTACCAGTGATTAGTCTGGACCTCTTTATTATAACTTTACTGAAGCCTCCACAGCTTTTGCATCAGACCTGCACAGTTGACAGCTCCAAAAATGGTGTGCCACAACAAAAACAAACACTTAGAACATTTAAAAATGAAATAATCTGTTTTGTTCTTCTGAATTTAATTCAGGTTTTGCATTAAAGCATGACTTTTTGTTACGTGGGTCACAGGAAAACACTGAATACCTAAAGATTTTTCTTAACTATTCTCCACTCAGCCCTTCATATTTAGAAGGGAGCTTGAAGCTTCTCAACAAATCTAGATCTCTCACCATGTTAAATTGATTCCTTTTAGCCAGAAGCTGAAAGTTCTGAAAAATCCTGTAGATATAGCCGACAGAAAAAACCATGTGAAATTAGTCATGGAATAATGAACACGTTGCCTTTCTCAGGACACAAGTCTCCTCTATGTTGAAGTATGTCAGCAACAGTATTAAAGTTTCCAATTTTTGGAAGTAGACAGTCCAAACCAAAATAATTTCTCATCAACCCATTCTTTGGTGCCCCACACATACAGGACAGTTAGGTCCTCCTAGTATTACTTCCACAGATTTGTAACACTGGGTTCAGTTAAAGCATGAACAACAGATCTGCCACTTTTAAGGAAATAGATTTTGAGGATTTCTTTCAAGCAGAATTTGTTCAGATCTGCATACTATATCTACACTCATAATAGATTGCCTTGGTGGTTTTGTTCTGCTTTGCTTCCCAGAGCAACAATTTTACCCTGACCCTGGTCCTGTCAGACCTCATTAGCCAGGCAGGTTTGTTCCAGCACAAGAGGTAGCTGGCAGAGTCTGGAACTGAGGAACTCGTGGACCAGGATATGGCACTCTTTTACGCCACTGTGGCCATACTTATTGACAAGACCACATGCTCTGGGATACGTGAAATCCTAGAAAAGCTATGAATCTGAATGTCTTTGTCCCAGGACAACAGCCACATTTCAGACTGGGTGATTATATTTTGCCTCCACCTCCATACCCTTCCAGCAGCTTCATACAAAGACTCCTTCCCTTTCAGTCCCAGGGAGCTGCAAAAGTTGCCTCATGCTTTTATGTATTTGCTGTGTTTTGATCTGTAAATGGCTGCGGTTCAGTATAATGGCTGACATTAGTATTTCAACTAGTTCAGATAAAAAAATTGTTTTCATCTGAAGTTGCCATTGCTGTGATTGTTTCTTGTGTCTTTACTAGTTACTTTTGTGTAACGGAGTCATAAGAAATAAGCAGCCTTCTTCTGTCACAGCTGGGACAGGGAATTATTATTTTCATGTCTGAAGGTCTAAAACAGGGAGTAATTTCACTTCTCCCACTAATATTTTTTTTTCCCAATAAAAAAGAAATTCTGATCCATGACAAGGAAAAACTATATTTTTCAGAAGGAGCTTTCTAATTTTTATAGTAGAAGAAGGACTTTTAATTTTTCTTTCATTTTTTTAAGTGAGTTGACAGCTTTTCCACCTGTGAAAAATATGGATCATAGCTCATGAAGGCATGAGCATGTTTTCTTATGTTACTGCTGCATAAGTTTTTTCTTTCTATCTCCCAAAGAGCTTTGGCTTCTGTTTGTGGATTGACAGCTCTGGCAATAGATGCTGTTGTAAACACAGCAGCTGTAAGAAGAGGCTCTGCCTGATTTACCCATCTCTGTTCAATGCTCCTCTGGCTGTGAGAAGTCCATGAGTGAGTGCCAATGACCCAGTCACTAGAACTCCACAGTGAAGTGTGAGTACGTCATCTGTGGCGTTTTGGGTGAGGTACCTGCCCAAACAAACATTTACATAATGGAGAGATCACTTTCTGGCTGCCTATAGGCTGCCAGAGAGTGCATTGGAGCTCTTGTTCATACCTTAATGTTCTCATTGTGAATGCCAGAGTTGGAGATAGCCTGGAATCGCACAGCCTTGTAGCTGATTTCTGCAGTCAGCTGCTGGATGATTTTCTGCACCTCCTCCACTGCTTTGGAAACCAGGTAATGCCGCCTTTCCACCTGTAAGTCCCAGGAAAGACACTTCATGTTACAGGTAATTGCAATCTTTGTCTCCAGTGGGAAGCAGACAAATCAGCTTAAAACATTCTGAAACATTTGTGCTTGTGCTGCACTGGGAATAAAAACTGTCCCCATGTGTATTGGAACCAATTTACCATGAGACAGAGCTGTGAACACCAAAGGGTCAATATTCAAGACTATTAAGCATTAATTGATATTTCCATGCCAACACCACTGGATGGAAGGAAAAGAGTTCATTACACAGACAAATTTGTTATCAACTACAGCTACAGTCTCAATTCTTCATCCATTTGATACAGAATACCTTTTACTCCCCTGAATATGGTAGCCATTCTCAAAGTCAGGTATGTTCTATTCCAAGAGCTGACAGGACATCAAGAGTTACAGATCTGTCCATAGCCAGGTGGTAGATATATGTGGTATCATTTAGATGCCTACCTTATACACTGAAAGCATCCACACTGTCTTTACGGCTGAAGTTCAGATGAGACTCTAGTCCTAGACAGTGTGAAAGCATCTTTCCAAAGCTGGTCCCATTTAACACATTGTTTGTGTTAAAAGGTGTTCTTCAATTGTGCTAGGTGTTAAAGGGTAGTTCTTCAATTCAGGAAGCAGTAGCATAATGAATTATTGAAAATTATTTCAGTTAAATGTCTGAGTCTTGGGAGAACTGAGGTGAAGGGTGGACAACTCAGAAAAATATAAGATGAACCTGAACCTTCACTTATGACTAAAAATGAAGGGAGCATAGGGGGACTATCACAATCTGAACAAGGAGATTCAATAAGAGGAACATGAAGGAAACATGTTAGTAAAGGGCATTTAATATTTCCCAAATATCCTTACACATTCACCAAAGTGAGGAGATTCAGCTACTGTTAATGAAGTTCATGAACATATTTGTCATTACTTATGCAACCAGAATTATTTATGCAGAGTGAAATATTAAGACTGTTTACTGTTCTTTTTTGGATCCTATGCTTAATCTCATTTGGTTGCAGCTTTTGCTTTCTTCTTAATTCTTTTTCCTCACCATATTCTACTGAACCTTATTGTTTGCAGACAAGAAAAAAAAATCAGAAACAGAATTCATCACTTGGCTAAAGTGAATGATAAAGCATAGAGCAATGAGAATGATAATAAATTATAATTAATGATAATAATTAATAATGATAATAATTAATTAATAATGATAAAGAATTTGCCAGTCAAACATAATTGTTACAGTCTTTTGTTATTATCAAAGACCAAAAGGAAGCAAAAGCCTATTAAAAATTCTGTACTGTGAGGGTGGTGAGGCCCTGGCACGGGTTGCCCAGAGAAGCTGTGGATGCCCCATCCCTGGAAGTGTTCAAGGCCAGGCTGGACGGGGCTTTGAGCCCTGGTCCAGTGGAAGGTGTCACAGTCCACAGCATGGAAATTGCACTATATGATCTTTAAAGGTGCCTTCCAAACCAAACCAGCCTATGGCTTTCTAAAATTCCTGTGTCCTGTTCACTCAGCATTTTCTTCAGCACTTGAACAACTCTCTTTTCTCTTTTAAAAAATATCATTCACAAGTACTTCTTTAAAAGTCCTTTTGGACATCTTTATGTCAAATGTTGAACTAACAGCCAAAACCACTCAAGTGTGTTGAAATGTGTCCCCAGAGCCTGGAAGGGGATAAATAGATTCACTTCTTCACACAAAGGGACCATTCAATGGACTAAAGTGGACTAGTGCTTGCCTTACATCCATTCACCCACGAACAGCAACTGACTAATACTGAACTTGAAGATGAGCAGAGTTTGAATACCTTCCTCCCTCAGACAACAAAGTTAACAGTACTTTTACTAAGCCTGAATACGTCAGACAACAGCAGCATACTCCCTTGACTCATCCACCCTTGACATCATGTTTCTTTGCTATCTTAACACCATGTAGTCCTTTACTTTTATATAATGCCCTTTAATTTCCCTAGTAATTCACCATCCTCCTCATTCCAATTCATCCTTTTCTCTAAGAGCAGTTTTAGCTACTTACATGTACTTAAAAAAAAACCCACTGAAAAATTTTAGCCCATGTTCATTTTCACCTCCTCATCTCAGCTTTCATTTATGGCACTTCTCCATCTGTATCTGTACTGTATCTATTTTCTCCACCTTATTTTTGTTCATCCAGAACAACTCCTTAGAACAGTCCAATAAGCTTGACAGGATACCTAATGGTTTCTTCAGCCAGTGAATGGTGAGTGCCAGAGAAAGTTGTCCATGTGTAAGACCTTTTAGACCAAAAAATAGACTTTTTTTTTAAATGGAAAAGTATAAAAAGATACAGTCTCACAGTGGGTCAGACCAGAGTGCCCACTGTATGCATTGCTCATGGTCTGTTCCCTCCAAGGGGCACCTGCTGGAAACATTTCTTGCCACCTCCAGTATCCAAGGAGAATCCATTCAACCCAGCCTGGCCTCATTCAATTCTGCCTTCATCACCTACTGGCTAGGCTACAGCAGTTGTCACAAATTCTTTATAAGAGTATACACTCAAAAAAAACAGTTGAGGGAGTACGACTAAACTCCACTTTCCATGTGTACTCCCCATCACTGGAACAGGATTAAAGAACAATGGGCATGTGACTGACAGAGGGTGCTCTCTGTAATTAGCTAACCATAATTAGCTCCGTAATCATCCTGTTGGAAAATATAACCTTCCTACAGAAGGGAGGGCAAAAAAATCAGAAAACAGAACGTGAGTCTGAAGAGCCAAGGCATTTATCTTAGGTACTTCTAGTACCAGCACAGACACACTGGGAGAAAAGTAAGGTCTTTGCTGGACAGTCACTTCTGTGACTCACTGGCATTCCCCTTACCAGGTCTTAGGGAATTGTGCTAAAACAAATGCACAAAATCTGAATAACAAAGTCAATTAAGTTTTTATTAAGGAGAAAGGAAGTAGGATTGGGATTCATTAGGAACTGTTAAGAACATTTGGGTTTTCTCTTATTTACCCAGCCACATCCACTCCATATGCATTCAAATTTTTCCTTTGATTAGTGGCTTAAGGATGAAATCTCTGGTATTATAGAGATTCATTGCACCAGGTGATTGACCTGTTTCCAAAAACAGGCAGCATTTGACAAGCTGAACTGCCTGAAGTTGGACAAAAGACTCAGGAGCAGGCAGAAACTAAGAATCCATCAGAGCTGGAGGGCTGCTAGAAAACAGACTTCCAGTATAACCTAAAATATTGGCAACTATGAGCCTCACTTAACTACAGTCTGCTTCTGTTCCTTGTACTTATGGCTGTCAAATGAGCATTTTCCTGTGCATGGCTTCCCTCTGTTCCCTCCTTTGTAGCTCTTCTTTTTAAATCTTCAGAGAAGCATTCACTGTTATAGCTCACTGAACAGATTTGCATGGAATAATTTTCCTGTGCACAACACTGCATGCCTGAAGAAAGTGTATTTCTGGGAGCACTTTTATACTTGCCACCAAAACATTTCCACAGAGAAAACAAACCTTTCTTACCAGCCCCTTCATTGTACTAGAATATGAGATCCTTTACAGAAAAGCCTCACACTTTCTCATTTTGAAATTATTTGTCACTTTGGTATCTTGCATTTTGTTGGGGAAAGCAGACTATAAAACAGGATCTAGCTAAGTACTGCCATGAAACATGTCAGCTTTAAAAAATGTTATGGCTCACTTAGAGCTTTTATTAAACAGTATTGTTTCACAGAAGATTTTATTCTGTTTTATTTCATTTCATAATGGGGGGGAAATTGAGTGTTGG